ATCTAGTTTAATCCTGTAATCTTAATTCTTAGTACAGATATCTGAATTGCTGCTGAAGCCTCCAAGGCAGGCTTCAGTAGTATGTGGACTGAGAACTTCCAGAAGTACAAGCTGGATTTCAAAGGGGCAGAGGAACTAGAGGCCAAATTGCTAACATATGCTAGATTATGGAGAAAGCCAAAGAGTTCCAGAAAAACATGTACTGTTGCTTCATTGATTATGCAAAACCCTTTGACTGTGAGGGCCAGAGCAAACTATGGCAAGTCCTTAAAGAAATGGGAGTGCCTGACTACCTTATCTATCTAAGATACGGAAGCAGTGACAGATTTTACTTTCTTGGGTTCCAGGATCACTGCAGATGGTGACAACAGCCACGAAATTAAAAGACGCCTGCTTCTCCTTGACAGCATCTTAAAAAGCAGAGACATCACCTTGCCAACAAAAGTACGCATAGTCAAAGCTATGATTTTTCCTGTAGTGATGTATGAAAATGAGCTGGACCATAAAGAAGGCTGACCGCCAAAGAATTGATGCTTTTGAATTGTGGTCCTGGAGGAGGCTCTTAAGAGTCCCCTGGACTGCAAGGAGAACAAACTTATCCATTCTAAAGGAAATCAACCCTGAGTGCTCACTAGAAGGACAGATCCTGAAGCTGAGGCTCCAATACTTTGGCCATCTCATGAAAAGAGAAGACTCCCTGGAAAAGACCCTGATGTTAGGAAAGTGTGAAGGAAAGAGGAGAAGGGGACGACAAAGGATGAGAAGGTTGGAAGTGTTACCGAAACTACCAAGATGAATCTGACCAAACTTCGGGAGGCAGTGGAAGACAGGAGGGCCTGGCATGCTCTGGTCCATGGGGTCACGAAGAGTCAGACACAACTAAACAACTAAACAACAAGAAACTTAAAATTAGGTTAAACAAATATAAGGATTATAGTGAAGCAATAACAGGATAGCTCTGTTAAACTGCTGAAGCCTCTGTGCTGCAGTCATACGATCAAATCCATGCAGCGGAGTAAGCCCCGTCACTTGTCCCAGTTCCCACCAACCTAGTGGTTCGAAAGCATGCAAAATGCAAAAATGCGAGGAGATAAATAGGTACCACCTCAGTGAGAAGGTAAACAGTGTTCCATGTCTAGTCACGCTGGCCATGTGATCACGGAGGATTGTCTGCAGACAAACGCTAGCTCTATGTGTTGGAAACTGAGATGAGCAGTGCCGCCTAGAGTCGGACACGACTGGACAAAATTGTCAAGGAGAACCTTTACCTTTTCACCTCCTTGACAGGGACTGGACTCAATGATCGGTAGAGTCTCTTCTAGCTCTGCAGTTCTACAATTATAATGATGATTAAAAGTCAGAATAGAGATGGCCTGTAGCAGCTTCCTTAAGATGAAAATACTGTATAATGTGTAACACAAACTTTAAATTGGCCTTGTGAATGTGCATTGTGTGGTGCAATGTATTCTTGGTTCCACTGTATAGCACAGAATCACAGACTTTTAAAACAAACAACCATAAAAGAGGATCAAGAGGATGACGAACAAAAAAGCACTACAGCAGATGAATAAAGACCAACAAATCATGAAACACATAAAATGCAGCAAGCTAGAACGTTTTCATTGTGTAATGAGAAACAAAAAGTGCTGATTATTACAGCAAATTATTCAAGGTAAGATAAATTAGAAAAGAAGTGCAGGAAGGAGTAAAACATATTAACTGAGGAACCTGAGAGACAGGTTTAGATGCAGCACAACGTTGCTAGTTTTAACTGCTGCACCCAAGATCAGAATATCCATGATGACATCTAGTCTCTGATACAAGAAGAGAAAGAGAAAGTAACCTGTGGGTTTGCAAACTAGCTTTCTTGGGGAACAGATATATAGTATAACACTGTACTCCTTAGTGTGAACTAGTCTGTTTCCCAAACATTCCTTTTCATCACATAATTTTTTATGTTGAAGAATTTTAGCATCTATAGGTTTGAGATGGCTATTTGCTTGTTTTTTCACAACTCATCCAACAGGATTTGAATGACAGCTATAGTCTTTTTCACAAGTTGCTCTTCATGCATGAGCCATAAAAAGTATCTAGTTCCCCCATCATTTTATATACTTCAGTTCACTCTTCATTTCCTGACTCTTGGTGATTTTACAAGCAATGAATCCATTGGCCTCACTAGAAATATTAGCATTTGTTTGAGGCAGTGAGAGGTGATATGAAGTTTCCTGCCTGTGGTGTTAAGTCTATTATGGTGCAAATCACTCTTTGATACTGTAGTCAGAAAATGATGAATATGCATGTGCAGAAAACGATGAATATGCATCTGTGAGTCACCCTTCATTGAGGGAAGCATTGAATTATGTTAAACACTGCACTTTCTTATGTGAATAGAAGGTTTCTGAAGGAGACTTGTGGGTCTGTTGCAGCAAAAGCAACCAAGGGCCCTTGCAGCATCATAGGAAGCTGACAAATTTGTTAGGGCATTATCATAGGTGGACTGCCTCCCACTTCATAGGCATTTTGTTTTGTTTTGAAACTGGAGCCAGAGCTTGGAGAAGTTACTTGTTGAGACTACAGCTCTCACTAGTCATGCTGGCTGGGAATGCTGGAAACTGGTCCTGGAAAAGTAACAGAATGTTCCAGAGTGGTTTCCCATGTCCATGGGCCTTGAACTACATGTCTTCTAGTTGGCACCCTCCAAGATCAGGTGGCTCCCTTCAGGGGATCTAGCAGCAGCAGCAGCAGCAGCACTCTCAGGAGGGCCAAGACATGAAACTAATTTCCCATAATGCCCACCTCTGGCCTAACATAGCCCAGCAAGGCCCATCATTGCTGATCCTTGGCCTGGCCCTCCTTCATGCCAGTCTTTTCGGTCAGGGCACTGGCCATTGGTAATTGACCTAGGATGCCATCCATGGCTGATGAACTGAGCTGGGGAACCAGCAGGTGGTAGGGGCCAGTTTTTGGAGGAATTTTAACAAGACACTAGCTCTGCACTGTTTCTGGAAGGCCCTACAATCATCCTCTATTCCGGATGACCTTTTTTTGCCCTCGTTCAGGGTGCAAGGATTTTCTAAAATTGGTTGTTGTGGGTTTTTCGGGCTCTATGGCCGTGTTCTGAAGGTTGTTATTCCTAACGTTTCGCCAGTCTCTGTGGCCGGCATCTTCAGAGGACAGCACTCTGTGCTCTGGTCAGATATATTTTCTAAAATTACTCTGTGAGGAGAAAAATGCACTGTGCACTTACAGTACTCCTGACTGGAAGGGCCGCTGTTTATAACAGTGCTAGTTAGAATCTTTCTTATTGGGATTATGAATCCTCTACTGCCAACGCTGGTTGAAATTAACATCAGGTGGGTCACTTGGGGTCTCTCCCCGCCTTTTATTCCCAGTGGGCAGCAGAATGTGTGGGCTCATTTATCCAAAAACATTTGCAAAGATGTGAAGCTTTTCATTTGACTGAGGAAGGTATGAAACGTTACCCAGTTATCAAAACTGTGACACTTTTACAAGTACACGCATCAAGTGGAATCTGTCACTTGCTGCATGTACGTGTGAACGTGCTGCAGTTTTGAGTGGCAGCGGGGGTGCCACCTAATCCGGATTCACCTCAGCACACGACCAGTAACTCCATTCGTACGTCCTCAAATGCGTGCATGTGAATTCCCTGCCTCTCCAGGGAATTGCAACGAAGGGCTCGCTCGCCGTCTTCGCCACTTCGCCCTTCAGGCTGGCCTAGTGGGTGGGACGGCCTTCCGTCCTCCTGGCCGCTCCTATTGGCTGTCGGGCAACCGCCCTCCCGAGAGGTGTCCAGGCGGTTGGTCCGTGGCAACGCCACTAATCAGGACTGACCTTCCCTTTCCCCGCCGCTGTCAAAGTTGATCATCTGGCGCCGCACTGCAATGGCGAGAAGGGAAGAGGAGCAACAGCACCCGCCGCGGGGGAAGGAGAAGGCGGAGGAAGAGGAGGAGGAGGAGGAGCGGGAGGAGGAGGAAGAGGAAGGACGAGAGGAAGACTGAGGCTCGTCCCGTCCCGGTTGGCGGAAAGAAGAGAGGCGCTGCCCATCCCGTGCAGATCCCTGCGCCGAGCCTTCTTGGGGTGCCCCGTGCCTGTGCTTAAGCAAATAAGCCGAGCTCTCGAAATGCTCCCGCTGCTGGGCTGTTGACAGGATCATCCTTAGCCACCGACCCCCCCACCGTCAGCCCACAGGCTCGCCGGCTGGTCTGGGAGAGGCAAAAAAGCAAAGTCGGAGGCAGGCAAGGCTGGAAGAGGGGAGCGGATGCCCTCCCTGTCTCTTCCTTTGGCCCCGATCCTGCAAAACGAGGGGACTTCGAGGCCGGTCTCGCTCTCCCTCTTTCCTCGCTGCAGCCTCCGGATCCCAAGAGTCGGTCGCAGGCAAGCCAGCCCCGTCGCTGTCCGCCTTCCCCGCCACACTCCCTGCTCCAGCCCCTTCCCGGCTCCTCCAACCATGACCGGTTCGATTTTCACCTTATAAAGATGGCGGTGAGGGATCGCTCCAACCTTTAGACTCATGACTGTCA